TTCCCCTTGCGTTCTCCTCCAGTTGTGACCTACTGCTAGTTTGATCTCTAGTTTTGTAGGAGCGATCAAGAATAGTTCTTGATATCAGTCTTTGGAAAAAGGCTGATATGAAGTCGTGCTCATAGCCTCCATCAAATTATTGCTGAAGGATTTGGTTCTTGGGAAGAACACTGTTGATTCTGCTCCACCCTACACTGTGTCATCTTCAGTGGGAGCAGTCTTTGGAGACTTCTTTAGGCGTGAACACCTTCATTGGAGGATATTGTTTCTTCGTATCAGATATATCCCTCTCCTACCTTTTGGTTTCAGATCTAATCCGGTTCTCGGTTCAAGATTGATCATTGAAAATGCAGATTTTCTAAAACAGGGATATGATTCCTAGGTGGGAGAGAGAAATTTTTGAAATTTCGCCCTACCTTCCTGTAGGGTTCGGCCATCCATATGATGGATCTCTCATCCCTTCAGATCGCCAAGAAGGAGAGGCCGACCGCCTGCATGGGGGCCTAGAGAAGAAGGAAAAGAACGGGGACCACTACAACAACAACAACAAGGACAACAAGAATTTAGCAGTCTCGGCCCTGGCTTTAAATCAGTACACGCCATTCAACTCCACTCAAACGCAGATCCCGATGCAGGTCAAAAAGGAGTACGTGAAGTGACCAAAAAAGTTGAAGAGGAACCCCAAGAGGGGGAACTCGAGAAAATACTACAAGTACCACTGCGGCACCGGCCACGACATCGGGGACTGCTATGAGTTAAAGAATGAAATAGAGTCCCTCATCCGTCGCGGTCACCACAAGTAGTACGTCGGGGGCGAGATCGCTCCCCTCCCCACCAGCAGGGGCCTGAGGTCGAGGTGTCCTCTCAACAAGTACCAGCGTCCTCTCAGCCGGCGCAGGAACCCTCTCTACGAGCCTCTTCAACATCTGCCCCTCGAACGTGCCCGCAATTAGGGCCTTCTTCTTCGCCAGCGTGCTCTCCAACAACATTCTCTTTACGTTCAACGACGTCTCTACAAAAATGAACAAGGAATTAGTGCCTCCAAGAAGGGCAAAAGCCAATGTGTTAAGAAGCCGATAGTAGGCCTTCTCTTACTGAGGTAGGCTGAGCCCAGGAAAAACCAAGGAAAACTCCTTCGACATAAGAGGCTTGGCCCGGATCATCCCCAACACTAGGATGTGGGTCATCACTATGGCTTTATCATCCCGAAGAAGAGGCGTGGCCTTTTCGGCAGATAGGTACATCTCCCCCTAGTAGGCCTTCTCTTATCGATGTAGGCTAGGCTGAGCCCAGGAAAAACCAAGGTAAACTCCTTCGACACAAGATGCTTGGCCCGGATCATCCCCAACACTAGGATGTGGGTCATCACTGTGGCTTCATCATCCCGAAGAAGAGGCGTAGCCTTCTTGGCAGATAGGTACATCTCCCCCTAGCCTGACTTAAACGGCCAACCCTCGGGGCAGGAAACAAAGAAAAAATTATTCTTCCAATTGTGGATGGACGAGGGGTTATCTATAGGTAGGATTCTCCGAGGCTAAAAATAGTATACCCCACCTTCAGTAGGATGTGACCTCGGCATGAACAAGGCATGAAACACCTTCGGCTTCAAGTTCATGTCCTGAAGTCGAGCCACCACCAGCATGGTGACGATGATCCTAAGGGCGTTGGGGGCTAATTGGCTAAGTGTGATACCGTACCACTTCAGTAGTTGAGAGATTTGAGGATGGAGGGGAAATCTAAGGCTGAACTTTAGGAAGTGCTGGTAGACGTAGATCTCCCCCTCCTCCAGTGTCCATGGCCGATCACTAGTGTTGAGGACCCTAAGTCTATAGGACCGAGGGATGTGGTACCTCCTAGCCAAGGACTTCACCTGGTCGTAATCTGTAATGTTGTCATGCTCCAAGCGTGACAGACACTATGTTTACCCCTCGGGTAGCACACTCAGCCACCGTCCTCGAGCTGGGCTCGGGGACCTCCTCCCCTCTACCACTAGGGGGACCCCTCGGCCTCCTTTAGCATCGCAGATGCGGTGCTCTCACAGGGAGAGCCTTCACCCTATCAGCTGCACTCTGCACTTCCGGGGGTAATCCTCTCCCTCAGCACCTCGACCTCCCACCTCGAGGCAAGGATCTCGACTACCAAGGAGCCTCGGTTGGAGCTGACGGGTGATGAGGTCTGATAGGAGCTCGCCCCCAAAGGATCCGGGAGCTCATAGCACTCTGGACCAGAATTAGAGTAAGACATGGTGTCGAGGTGTTTACTTAAGAAGAACAAGACAAGGGCTGGGAAGTTCTAAGAAAGGCAATCTACCCAAGGGCTCTAGAAGCAAAAGGCTCTTGAAGGCAAGAGCACTCGAAGGCGATGGCCCAAATCACACCTAATCCAACAACTGTGCAGCGACCGCCTCTACGGCCCCGTCCGCTAATCGACACACATTGCTCGCCTCAGGAAGACGAAACGACGCCGGGCAAACTAATCGACCCTCTCTCCACAACTCGCTGGTCCTCCCAACCACGCTGACCTAGTGAACGTCGAACTGGTTCAACTGGATCCGTCTCCCCTATGGACACGGTCTCATAACCCGTCGCAAGCGCGACCCAGACTTGGCATCGAGGCCCATCTCCTCCACTGCTCGCAAGCTGATGGTAGCAAGTTCCACCCTACAAGAAATCAAGTTACTAGCTTGGGCACCCAAGTGCACTGCCCTCAGCACCCACAGCTGAAATCGAGGCCTCCAAGGACTTGCTTCTGCACCAGCACAGAGACAAGGCAGGGGGCAAGGTCTCCCCTCGCCCACCTTCGGCATTGGCCTCGAAGCCGAGGTTGAGACCTCCCAACAGAAAGAGCCTCCACAGTGCCCCCTAGAGAAGAGAACGAAGCCAAGTCGACACCACCTCAGGGCACGCCACGATCATCCCCAACAAAGCCGAGGTTGAGGCCCTCATCAAGAAGGACTAGTAGCGCCTCCTGGTATATATCCTAGACACTCCCTTCGGTCGAAGCCAAGGTCTTTAGCTCGGACCTCCACCACGGCCTCGGGAGTGGGAGGCAAATGATGTAGGCATGCTCAACTCGTCCAATCATGGGCCTACACATGTCAGGCGGCGCAATTCAGAGCGGACCCAATCAGGGCACGCACAAAACAGACCTCGGCGGGCTTTGCAGAGCCAATGGCACAGGGTCACTTGGCGGTCTCGGATGGCCGCGCTCCTCACATACAGACCCCATCCGGACCGTCCAAGCTCACCTACCTCCAGGCGGCCTCACATATAAATAGGAGGTGATGCCCTCTAAGTAAGGGATTGGAACTTAAGCTCTCTATCTAGCACTTGAGATCCTCTACTCCTTCGTGGCCTCGTTTGAGTGTTTGTACCTCAGGCCTAGTCCACATCTCACCATCTCTTAGTACTAACTTGACTGTCAGAGTTTCCGCCTTGGGTACCAACCTGGGGCCTCTGACGTTCTCCTCTTTGTAGGATCGACCTACTAGCCTTCGGTCACCTCTGACATTCCCCACCTTAGACCTCGGATCACTTAGTGACACCTCGATTTAGGAGCAGAATTATTGTGTTGTCCTTTGCCCATTCCGAGCATCAAGTTTGATAGATAGATAGATAGATAGAACCCTTGTGATGTAAATTGGAGCTCCACGGTCTATTGTAAAGAAAGAAGTTTTATTCATCAGCATGGCTACTTTTGGTGGACCGTCCTTATTGGACCACTTTGAATAGCATCTTTTGTAAGACAGCTGGTTTCTTTCAGACTTGCCGTTGGGATTTATTACTTGATTGCATCCTTTTCTTTGTGACCCTTTTATTGGATGGAAAAGAAATGAACAAAGAAGATTTTCTATTAATTGATCTTCTCTCTAATTTCTTTTCTCTATTTTTTCTACAAATTGACAACCGCAACCTGTTTTTTCTTTTTCCTCTCTACTATATCTATACATCTATCCACTTTGCACGTTCTCCCTTATTACTTAGATGATCGACAAAGTTGTTCTCATTTGGGACCTAATTATAGAATCTGAAATGAAGTTTCATCTTCTAAGGAGTGTGTTTTTATAAGCATTGTCACATTGTCTGAAGAGAGGGCAATGTTTTGACTTTATATCAACTAATCATTTCTCTCAATATATCAAGTCGAGAATCCAAGCACCAGTGGATGTCTGCATGACTTCTCCATTGCAGATCATCATTCATTAAATTAGGTCGATCTTATATTAGTATCCTGCTGGTGAGAGAACCAATGTTGAGTTTTCATCTAATGAGATCAGAAACTCACTCCTCACTACCAAAAGAAAAATCAAATCCAACATTATTTTTTCTTAATCTGGGGAATCATTCCAACCTTCCATAGATAAATTGTGTCCAAGGCAATCTCCATTAACTAAATCTAGTGCCCTATAAGTTCTGAGAATTATAATCGTGTCATAAATCGTATAGAAATTGTATCCAATGAATCATATCATAAATTGTAAAATTCTTTCTTTTTTTTTACGAACTTGCCAAAAAACCAAATATAGATTTATTAAAAAACTCACCTTATATTTTATCCATACCTACTATATATATACACTTAAAATAGTAAAATTTACCACTTGATCATTAGAAGCCTAAGATAAATATCATCAAGTTTGACTTGAAAGTTAAAATCCACATACAAGCTCTTTAATTTATGTATAATGGAAAATAAACTTAATTATGGCCTTAAACAACATAAATGTATAATTTCTACTAATGACTTTAAAACAAGTTCCCTTGACAAAACCAAATATAAATAAAAAAAAAGACAAAGTAGAGAATTAATTCTTAATTGAATTTATTTGAATTGAATTGTAAAAATCATGATTTCTGAATCAAATTGTAAAATTCAAACAGATTGTAAGAAATTTGCAGAAAAGGATTCAGACATAAGAGTCCAATCGAAACCCTTTGGATTCATGATTCAAACCATGAATTTTATGGTAAATCATAAGATTTTGTCAACATTGGTGCCCAGTGCATTCAATCCATGTGCTTATAAATTTTTGATATATTGAAGATACTATTACAATATTATCCTACATCCGATCGTGGAGTCACAAGTTTTATGTACCTAGTATCATCACAGCAATGAAAATTGTTTAATATTCTTCATCTGATATTGCATTCAATCCATAAGCCACTCAACCATTTCATTCTTAGTTAAGCAATTAATAAAAAAGAAAAAAATATTTGATCTTAGAAGTCCGTGAACACCATCAACAAAAAACCTGAAGGGAAGTTATCTTAAAGATGGTACAGTACCTGCAAGAAAAAAGAGAACTTGATAAAAATGAAATTATTTCCAAGGGATAATAATGGTTTAGAACCTACATCAATTAGAGTCACTTTTCAAGACTCTGAGATCTGAATTGACTGGGTTGCATACACAAAGTAAAAGAACCAGACTTGGGAGGATAATCTGAATTTGAATAGGATAACCGAAGAGATATCTTTTCTTTCTTTTCTTATGTCCAACAATTGTCTCACCAAGGAGATCACTTGGGGCAAATGTTGACTCAAGTAGGTGTTTCTATTAATTTCTGAAAAGCTGAAGTGATGACTGGTGAAAATATAATGAATGAACACAGAAAGCTCATAACAATCCAGTTGGGTCACAGTTCACAGGTTGTGTACATCTGTCCCTTCCCATACTCTGCACTGGTTCTAGATGATGATGATGATGATGATAATAATAATAATAATAATAATAATAATAATAATAATAATAATAATAATAGTGTACACATGGATTGGAAATTCAAATCTGATTACATAAACACCTCATCCAAATAGATGATAATTGGATCAAGTTGTGAAGTTTCAATTATCATTGATAGGCCTATTTGGTTGACTTCTTTTTTGTAATATTTAATCTTTTTGGTGTATCTTTTTTTTTGTTCATTTATCAAAAAATAAAAGATTTAAATAGAGGGAACTGAATGGGGTGAAAAGTAGTAGTTCAATTTATAATTTAAACCTCAAAATTAAATAGGGACTAAATTCAAAAATGAGTATTTTATCTAAAAAAAAAGGTTCCGCAATCTTATTCATATTTTTTAATAGTAGTGCAAATATAGAATTGTAGATGTATTCAATTTTTTTTTGTATTTTGTGTAAAAATAATTCTAATATGTCATACTTGTTTTTTTTAATATGATAAATATATGATATTACATGTGTACCTAAATGTTTTATGCAAAATTTTTGTATTTATTTTGTATTTTTATATTTTATTAACTTTTATTATTTATTTATGACATTAAAGGTTAACATGTTTGACCCAAAATTTGAACTATTGATCTTTGCCAAACAATAAAATAATTTCATTTTTTGTCAGTTCTAAATTATGTATTTCATTTTCATTACCAATAAAAATAGTTCTTGTTTATTACACTTATTAAAGGTTAACTTGTTTATTAAAAAATATAACATAAATGTGTCTAATTTTTCTACATTTTTTTGTAAGTTTCTATATTTATTTCTATTTTAAAAATTTTATTACTAATTATGACTTCGTAGGTTGATCAATTTGATTCGGATGGTTGAATTGCTTAGCCACCACTTGGATTTAAAAATGGTTTTGTTTTTGAGTCAGTTTTAAAATATATGGGTTTATATTGTTAAAAATATTGACATGGATCTAATTTAATAAGAGAAAATAAGAGTTAATAATTTAATTATAAGACTTAATGAGGGGATTAAATGAGGTGGGAAGTAATAATTGAAGTTACATTTTCAACCTTAGCATTAGAAATAGACTAAATACATAATTATGGGCATTTTAGTAGGCATTAAAGCTGTAATAAAATGGCTTTTATCCCTTTCTCAAACAAAGAAGTAGAGGGTAATTATCCTAAATATATAATTTGTGAGACCATATACATACACATAAAAATATATATCCTATTTGTAACCACATACTGACCACCTTTTTCTCCATTTACTTCCTCTGATTTCCAGATGATATCTTTCAACCCAGTTGAGATGTTCTTGTAAAACTGAACAATAGTTGATAGAGAAATGAAAATATGTTCAGTGACATGCATAGGTTTCATAGTCAGTAAATACTAATCAAAATTGACCTTGCTGAGTACCAATTATTAGAAAGCATAGCTCAAGGCATGTTTTCTCTCCAAGCTATGCATTCTAAAGCCTATGAGCAGTGATAGATATACAATGCATTACTGGGATTATTTTGCACCAATCAAAGTAGATGCAAATATTGAGTTATATTCAAACCAGAAAGCCATTTCCCAAGATTCAGTGGGTTTGTAATACCATACCTTGTGAAATTCCAGGGTATCTCCACCAGACTTCCTAAGCTCAACCATGTGCAGTGAAGGGGCAACCTCAAAAATCTGTGGGAGTTAGGACAGGAAAAGCAAGTATCTTATAGATATGGATCAGATAGGCTGCACATGTCTCATTAGTAGGTGTCCCTTGAAGATAATTCTTAAATGGAGGTACCTCTGTTGTGATTGATAACTGACCCTTTCTTCCAGTTTTCTCCCCTTGAAGCTTCATCTGGAACAAGAAAAAATAAGTTGCAGAGCACTTGAACTTCAGAACACTGTCAGTGATGTAATATTATTCATGTACATTGTTCCAATCCCAGCTCCAATTGGTTTAGTTGTCATGGATGTTTATCCAGGTCTGGCATTCTGGATGGAAACAAGTACCCAAAAGCAATCAAACAGCTGAACCAAGATTATACAGCCTTTCTTGTAACAAGGACCAAGTTCAGCTGCATTTTATTTCCATCAGTCAAATCTTCCCCACTTGTAATATAAGCCAGCAAAGTGGAACATAACATAAATATGTTGAGTAAGATAATCACAATTTAATAAAGATGGATTCTTTTATATTGCTCTGGTGATTTTGTAATTGTTTTTTTATTTTAATTGCATTTGTTTGAAACTTTTCTTCCTCTGTTTATAAATTGTTGATTTAGAACCCCTTCAAAATAATTAATCTACAAGTATAATGTATGGTTAAAAAATTGTTATCTTTTTCTTTCTCTTTATCTTTTCTTTCTTTAGGGGCATGACGATGGGGGATAGGGAGGATTTAGCTCACCTTGTAATTGTTTTTCTTCACATCAAATCCCAAAGGTGTGGCAGCTTCCTCAATTTTTGAGATTATCTCATTGGCAGGGCATTTAGATGTAAATCTTGTTTTCCGCTTAACAAGTCCCTAGTCATCACCGGAAATAAATATTTTCTGTTTAAGGTAAGATCTATCAAAAGTAATCACAAGGCCAAATAGGCTAGCATGCAGTATTTAACAACAGAAATATTGCAAGAAATGTCCTTAACATCTATCTGAAGCACCAATATTCTATGGCTAAAAATGATACAAGCTCATATATCATCCACATCGGCATACAGGAATATGTAATTGCTCTACATTATCTATAGATGTTGATCAAAACACAGTTACTGGTTAACAGTGTTTGCTAAACCTGATACTTTGCACTCGTGTCAGATTTTGACGTTAACCATTAATTGCAAAATTGATGGTGGTGGGTTTAAAATTTTCCAAGAGATTAATCTGGCTGCATCTTTTTGTAATTTCTGAGGTTATTTAAACCAAAATTACATTTCCCTCTCCTCCCCTGACCAATGCATTTGGAAACTCCACCCTGTTGGCAAGTTCTATACCAAGTCCAATGTTAAGGCTCTGGTTGAAGATGAGATAACCTCATACTCCCCAGCCAAGAAGGTTTGAAGTCCTCACATTCCAGATAGAGTTTTTTCTATGGAAGCTTACTTGAAGAGAATTAACACTTGTGACCTCATTCAAGAGAATAGGGAAGGTTATGAATTTGCCCCATGTTTGTTTGTTATGCCTTCAAGATGGGGAATCAGCTGAACATCTTCTTATACATTTCCAAGAGACCAGAAAAATTTGGTATCATTTCTTAAATCTTATTGGCTGCAGTTTGGTTTCTCCCAAGCATATTGTAGACTTTTTTTGGCAATGGCAAGGCAGAGGTCTCAGTAGGATGTTTGTTTGTTATGCCTTCAAGATGGGGAATCAGCTGAACATCTTCTTATACATTTTCCAAGAAACCAGAAAAATCTGGTATCATTTCTTAAATCTTATCGGCTGCAGTTTGGTTTCTCCTGAGCATATTGTAGGCTTTTTTTGGCAATGGCAAGGAAGAGGTCACAGTAGGAGAGGTAAAAATTATTGGAATATGGTAGCCCACATAGTGATGTGGGGGTATGGGAAGAAAGAAACAATCGAATCTTCAACAAGAAGGGTAGATCTTCTGAAGACCTAATTTCTCACATTTCCTACCTCTGTAGTTTGTGGAGGTTTTCAAAGGAATGTCCCTGACTGACCTAAAAAAAATCTTTATAACTTTCTTCGCTCTTTTCTGATGAGCCTAACCCTCCCCCAAGGTTTTGAAACCAGATTAGAGAGGATAATGAAATTAAAATTTGATGGAAGTTCTTCAGGTTAACAGGGTGTTACTGGGATAGGAGGTGTAATCAGAGGGAGAGATGTAACTTGTGCTGGCTTTTAGCAGCCCAATTGGGATTGCAGATTCTACAACGGCTGAGGTCATGGCAGCTCTCACTTGGATTCAAATATCTAGAGATTCATGCATATGAACACAAAGTACCCAAATTGATAGGTTAAGGCCATCAAATGGTTTGACATCATCTACCAGGCTACAAGATGTTTAAGGACCTTAACAATATAATTGAGGCCATGTTCACTTACCAATTTCTTTTACACTATAATGTCTTATATCCTATTTTTAGATTCTTACTGCAAAGAAACCACCAGAGCATACCATCAAAGTGGTTTGACATCTACCAGGCTACAAGATGTTTAAGGACCTTAACAATATAACTGAGGCCATGTTCACATACCAATTTCTTTTACATTATAATGTCTTATATCCTATTTTTAGATTCTTACTGCAAAGAAACCACCAGAGCATACCATCTGCTTCTCAAATAAAGAACTGAGGTTCAGACCCTGAGAGGTAGAGATGAGCTCAAAAGCATTCATTGCAGCTGGCTTTTCTTCTCGCTGCTCTACAACAAGATTTCCAGAGTCCTGTCCCAAGAAAAACTAAATGTGAAATTTATGAAATCTCATGTTCCTCTCAGAATTCCTACTTCACCATTATATTTTCTTAATGTTATAGGTTCTAGGTAAAAAGTATACAGGAAAGATTACCACAGATTCATCAAAAATGGCATCCACATCATCAAGACTAACATCTGCTGACTCAAAAATAGGCGGCTTATATCCTTTCTTAAACCACTCATTCTCTATGACCTCAGAAATGCTAATTCTCTGTTCAGATAATCAGAATTTAAATGACAGAACTGTAAGTGACAAAATATATGGCAATTGAAATTAGAGGAGAGTAGTAATTCCAACTTGAATCATTAAAAAAGCTAAATGCACTTGCAACAATGTGAAATGGAAATAAAAGGCATACTGTCGCTGGATTGGGGTCAAGGATCCTTTTGATTAATTTTTTTGCACTTGTTGAGAACCATGAAGGACAGTTGAAATCAGCCTTAAATATCTGCAGTCATGAGAGCACTGTTAAATTCATGTTTCATTTTTAGAAAATTAAAACATGTGCCACAAGATTATCTATGCTCAGAACACTTCTAAAAATAAACTCTTTTTGCAGAAGGCATTACAAACACTCTTAATCTGAATCCTGAACATGCATATCCAACTTTTAGCAGTTTTACCCATATTGAAACAAAAGATTCCATTTGAGATCAATATGTCTTGTGTGCTTCTTATCTCATGATGACCATTTCCCGGGTTAAGTAATATCATGGCTTCATGTTTTAACTTCTGAGGAAATTAGATGAGATCCTAGTTAAATAGTTAGTCTGAGCCTTTAGGATGGATGGTTTGTTATACACAACTAGTTACAAACTTACAATATTAAATATTGGGATGTTGCAGACTTCCGAATGGATGAACCACTGGGATCAAATTAGAGATCCTAGATTTTAGAACTATGTGCTTTTGAATTAATTTCCTTTGCTAATTTTCTTCAAACTTGAATGGAAAAACACAAATTCAGTTATTATTATTCAATTAGAAGTTTCTTGGAGGCTAAGATGACATTTGTATATGGACATGTGACAAAATTAATAAGATATCCAATTATTTAATCAAATATAACTTGTTAATACATGAAACTATGTTGTTCCTTGAGCATATTACTTACACGCCCCTCATCACACAAAAAGGGGGGAAACAGTGGCAATGTAGTGTAGACCACTAACATAGGATTCGTTTTTCCTTTTCTTTCTTCAGAAATAAATTTTACTGAATCATGGATCTAAAATTAATCTATTAAACAGCAATCTCCATGTTCTTGGTGAAGATATTTACTAACTAATCAATGTAAAATGATATATAAAGACAAAGAAACTGACCTTCTTATACAATTGCATAAGATTGGAATCCTCAAAAGGCAAATAACCGGCCATAAGAACAAAAAGGATTACCCCGCATGACCACAGGTCTGCCTTTGCTCCATCATAACCTTTGTTGTTAATCACCTGGGAAAGAGAACAGGAAATGAGGACAGCCAATGGAATTCAAAGTAAAGAAAATGAAGTTACTCTCTTATGAAGAACCCAAACTGAACTCTTATCCAATATACACAATATACCTCTGGAGCAACATAATTTGGTGTCCCACATGTTGTGTGAAGTAACCCATCTTCCTGAAACAAAAATGCTTTAAGAAGTTGAGTTTAGGATCCTATTATAAACATTGAATAATTTCTGGTTTGTTCTTCTTTTTCCTTGTTTCAACAGAAAAACAACAAAATAGAAACAAAATCTTCCCATTTAAATGAGAATGTTTTAAATAATTCTTAAGCTATGAGGTAGTGCATCATTGTACTGACCCGAACTTGCTGAGGTAGTGCACTTAATCCAAAATCTGAGACTTTAAGAATTCCATTAGCATCCAGAAGCAGATTTTCAGGCTGTGATAAGAAAGTATGGTCAGATAGATTGCATTGTATACAACTGATTAAGTTCAATATGTCCAATGTTCTGCAGAAGGCGCAATATGATGTAGTGTGAAGTGGTGGAAAAGGTCATGGAAGAAGTGGGGAGGATATTAAAGTTCAAGGTTTAAGTACATGCTTTCAGCCTTTTGAATCGCACCTTCAGGTCTCTGTGAAAAACACCCCTGCTGTGACAGTAATCTACAGCATTGATCAGCTGCTGAAAATACTTTCTTGCTTCATCTTCCTTCAATCTCCCATGACTAGCCTGGCACAAGGGAAAAACAAAGGATATAGAAACATTTCCACTGTGAATCACTTGTTTCTACCATAAGTTTGACTGAATTGTCAATAGCACAAGTAAAACCAAAGCATGCCAACATCTTACAATTTTGTCAAAAAGTTCACCACCATTCACAAATTCGAGAACAATATATATCTTTGTCTTGCTAGCCATCACCTACAACAATGGCACTCACTTTATTAACAATATATAAAAAGGCTTCTATAGATTCAGAACAGTATTGACAAAACACAAATAACATTCAAACATAGGGCTCTTATGATGAAAATATATAAGCATCCTGTCTATCAAAATTATGTAAGAAATTTTAAGATTATCTAATTAAAGAACATCTAGAAGCTGGAAATGGAATGATGAATAGGCAAGGGAAAAAATAAAACCAATAAATAAATGAAGCTCAGGGAGTAAGATTAGCATAACACAAATTGCTGGATCAATTGGATATAGGAAAGATGCAACTGGTCATACCTCATACATACGAATGACATTTGGATGTCTGATCAATTTCATGGTTGAAATTTCACGTTTAATCTGCATAAAACAACATGAAGAACAGTGTTATGGAACAGAATCTAAATACGGACTCTATGAATTTATGCATGGGAAGCTTCTCATGCCAAAGATGTTTATGCATGGGAATTGGAATCAAATACTCAAACCATGAGTTTCATGGTAAAGCATAATCAAACAACAAACAAACAAAATAACAATTTGAAAGGCAAAAAACAAAACAAAAAACAATCTGGCCAAAGCATCCCACATAGATGTGGTCAGGAAAACTAAGAGGGTATTTAGTAGTGTGAAAATATCATGGACAGGACCGTTTTGATCCTGTCCACGATAGAATGTAGTGTTCTGCTTTGTATGGACAGTCCTCATTTTATTTAATCTTTTAATATATTTTAATTTATATTGAAATTATTCTTTTAAATTGTTTATTGCTGAAGATAATATTAAAATGATAAATATATTTATTTTTATATTTATTAGTAATTACGTATTGGTGTGTTATTTTATCCATTATTATTTTATATTATTATTTCAATTGGCTTAAATTGTGTTTTTTTTTCATTGATGATCATATGGTGCAAATGGATCGGACCATCCAATACAAATCCGATCCTGTTTTGTCAGATTTGGATAACCCTTTATCGGGTTTTTTGGATCAGATCCAATTGGAATTTGGATCACCCCTATCCAATCTGATCCGACCTATATGTATATATTTATAAACATATTTACTTATAAAAATTCATGTATATATAATATATTTATTTATAAATATGCTTATATTGCATTTGTTGTAAATTTTTTATAAAAAGGCATGTATATATTAATATATATGATGAAAATAATTGAAAAAATACTTATACTTTTGGTTTTTTTTATATAAAATTTTTTGTTTTTTCTTTTAATAATTTATTAATTTTTTTTCATAATTTGAATCGGTTCGGATTAGATTCAGATATCTAACATCTTTAACGGATTAGAATTTGAATTACCACTTATGAGATCCAATTGGATCTTCAGATCAAATCGGATCAGATCTTGTATTCTGCTATCGGATCGGATTTGGATATATCTTGGTTTGAATCTGATCCAATCCGTTTGCATCTTATGGGTATAAACAGTAGTGTGGTGTAAACAGTAGTGTTGTGTGGATTGGTCCTGCCTTGACCAGCACACACCCACCGATTTCTCATCCACGTTACATAAGACTCCCTAAGGTAATAAATCCATTAAAATGGGAAAAACAAGAAAAGAAAACCCCATTTCTCAATGATAGCACTAATCATGCTTTGCTTCTTTTTCTGATTTTCTTTTGATCAACCGGAGCCAGACATTTTATTGGCAGCAGGCAATCAAAAGCAAAAGTTATATCATATTGAAACTAATTTGTAGAACATATTTTAAGTTAAGTTCGATATAAATGAACTGAGTAACTAGTTAACTCGAACTTCAGTAATAGAAGAATTCGACATTGAACTTTATCTTCCAATCCTCCACCCCCGGCAAAAATTCCGCAAAATAAAATTCTCATATCAATAAGTTTGAAATCAATGTATTTTTCTTCTAGTGTAATAGCTTGCTAAAATTCTTCTATTAGATGAAGAAAAGAACTTAACTAAGGTAACCCAAAGAGGAGAACCTTAAAACAAGAATTACAGAATCAGGCAAATTCAAAATAAAAAATAAAAAATAAACGATCAATTCCCCTTAAAAAAGGAAGGAAATATAGAGCAGAAGGCGGCAAAACAAAAGGGGCAAAAGCAGTAAAAGTACCTGACCAACCATCTTATGCTTGAGAACCTTCTCCTTATCGAGAATCTTAATGGCAACATTCTCCCCCGTCTCGGCATTGCGAGCGAACTTCACCTTAGCAAACGTACCCTCGCCAAGCGTCCGACCTAGATCGTACTTCCCGATACGCGTTCTGCTGCTGCTACTGGCACGAGAAGTCATCTTCAGATTCTTGATTTCCTTTCCCGCAGTCTCTCACTCCCCCTTATCTCTTCTTCTATATTTTCTTTTCACAGACTTCTAAGATCTCTTCTTCTTACAGGGTTGCCAAACCTGAGACTTCATCACCTTCATCTCTCCTTCCTTTCTATTGAAACAACTACGAACAGCCAAAAGAACGCCCACCCCCAACACCAACCAATTGAAGCTCTGCTCTTGAAAGATCGAAGCAGGGATCTAGCGATAGGATGAAATTAATCAACCAATATTAATAATGATTCAGGTAGAAAAAAAATAAGAAAAAATGTCGGATTTTTCATGGCAGATCGAATAACGGATTCAATTTTTTAATCTTTGTCACCTATCTTCCTCCCCTTTTCTTCTATTCTGAATCTCCTCCACCAAGAGGATACAGTGATTGGACTTTTCTCTATATTGTTAGAGAGAGAGAGAGAGAGAGACGAATGTTCGTGCATATACGAGGATACGTCTCCCTTTATATATTCCTGGCTTTGAAAAATGAGCTACTTAGCCCAGGGCAAAAACTGTGACGACGACGACCCTCGATGCATCGATGTGGTCCCCATTGAATTGGACGAAGTGGGACACAGCAATGCGTCAAAGGCCGTGATTTTACGGTTCTAGCCCAGCGCTACTCCAGTGGGAGTAGCTGATTTCTCCTCCGGTTGTTTCACTCTACTCTCTATCCGGAGAAAGCGTTAAGAGACAAGGGATGAAACCAGTCTGGGCGGTCGGTTGTGTTTTCTCTTTTCTGGACGGCAGTATATCTTTTTCAGCGGTCGTAATAAATTAAAATTAAAATTAAAATGAATGAGTAGCGTTTCTCTCTCTCTCTCCCCCTTCTCTTTTATTTGTTCCTTTTACTACTGCACCGGCCTGATCTGACACGTGTATTAGCAACGTGTCGTTGGGTTCACGTCTATAACTCCATCTCCACCAAAAGAATATCCTATCAGCAACTCAGGCTTCAAACTTGGGTAGTAGATTTTAAATCAACGATGAAAAGTCTTCGTTACCATAGACTATTATTGGATCTGACATCTGAGTCCTTTCTGATATTTTTGGTTACCGTGCTTATCCTCAACCCCGAGATAATCGTTTTTTGTTCAGAAATCAGAATACGAGTTTCAAGGCAGCGTTGCAAAGGGATTGAATCTAATGACTAATCGAATATAGGTTGACTCAAATTGCATTTGTTTATTGTCCAATTCTGATCAACAGTCAATCCAGTATTCAAATAGTCTAATAGATATTTAATACTAGCGGGGCTCGTGTGATGCACGGGATGGGCACGACTCGCTCACGTAAGTAAAAGACAGGTTTGGGGCGAGTGATAGGATTCAGTCACTCCATGGCCCGTCGAATAACCACCGTAGCCTTGCATTTGCATTAGGAATATCTGCCCATGAAATAAAGTATAAAAGTATAGAGATGTTCTCAATGTAATACTAAAAAGGCTGTTMGAATATTGTTTGAAGGGGCCTTGCAGTGGCCCGATCTCTTGGGGCGGAGCACCAATTCAGAATTTCTAAATTTTTTTCACCATCGTGAGGTAATTATTTAAAAAAAATTAGTTTATAGATATTTATGAATAAGATTATAGAAATTTTGAAATATTTTAGGAATTGGATTATAAGAATTCGGGGGTATTTTATAAATAAAATTATGGGATCTTAGGATTATAAGAATATGAAGAAAACTTAAAGATATTTTAAAAATCAATAATAAATCTATAGATATTTTATTAATTTACTATCGAGTTCGGGGAATTATATACAAACTCTATCCCTAATTTGGAACAAAAATATTTTCCCTGCCTCCACCCGTCTTTGCCCCGTCCCCATTTAAGATTGGATAAAGCTTGTCCCGTTTGGGGCAGGGCAGGGTAGGGCCCCAATTTTACGAGGAAAATTGCCATCCCTACAATTCTAATAATTTTCTAGAACTAATTAACTAATAGTAAATTAAATAACAATAAGTTACAATATTTTATGATAATTTCCAAAAAAAAATATTGAAATTGCTATTGATTAGTAGTAATGTATGGTAAATTAATTGTTTACAACAAAAATAAATTAATGTAAACTATTTAATTTTTAAGCTTAAATTGTTTACTATTAAGCAAAGTAAATGTAATTATAGTAATTACATTATTTTTTAATTAAACCAATTGTAGTTAATTAATGTAAAACTAGGTATAATCAAAGTCAACCAAGTGGTCTACACCCTTGTGGCTAGACTTAATAATTTTCCTAAATTATTTATTGAAATAATAATAATGGATTGTTATTTAAATAATTATAAAATAATTTTTGATAGATTAATTTCCTAATTTAATTTTCCTAAACTTTTTAATAATTATTTAGTTGAATGATAATAATAGATAATTATTTAAATAGTTCTGGAGAATAGGTTTTTCATAGATCAATTTCTTAGTTTTTTAATTACTTATTAAAAATAATTATGGATTATTAGTTAAAGAGTTTCTCTAAATTATTTGATAATTGTTAACTATAAATTATGATTTTATAGAAATTATTAAACTACGTTAATTAGTAATATCTTTTATCAATAAATTATTATTGTAAAAATTTAATAAAATTTTGTTAAATTACGATGATTAATGTAAATTACGCTAAATGTTGAAATTTTGAGCATTTATTAATAACCAAAAAATATTAAATAATGGATTGTTTATTAATTTTTGGTAGATTATTGAATTATTTAATATTTTTTAAATAATGGATTATTTCTAAAATAATTATTTCATAATTTTTGGTAGAATATTTTCTAGGAGTTTTTAATAATTTTCATAACTAATGGATTATTTAACAGTAGATTATTATTAAGAGTAGATTATTTAACAATAATGGAAGATGTCATGAGTATAAAGGAAACATCAAATTCCCCTTATTCCCCTCTCTTTGCTTGAAATCATGTCTATAGACATAAATATTGTTTGATTTGGAAAACCAAATCTTAATAAATTATGGTCCTATTTTTATGGGAAAGTGGAGAGAATAGAGGGGAACTAGAGATAGAAGTGAAGGAGAGGATAAAACATATATTGAGCTAATTAAGGAGAAAACCTTTCCATGAGCATTAAGAACCTCTTTTCCATGTGCCTGAGAGCGCAAATCTCCTGAATGGACACCAGAACATGGGTCAACACATGGCATGGCCACCACCACTCTATCCAAGCCTAACACTCAATAAATTGTAGAATTATGACATGTGAATCCTATATGGACTCAACCCATGTTGGAGGGAGATTCAAAATTTCAAGAATCTCTCCTCCCTCCCTTGTATTTTTGAGTTTTGTCTTTTCCTCTTCCCTCTCTTCAATGCATAGGAAGACTCATTGTCCCACATTGCTTGGCAAAGGAATAGAGGTGGAGTATATCTATAGTTTTGCTCTCTCTATGGGTAGGGACCCATAGGAGGAAAGCACTATGGATATTCCCATGCATGTGAGGGGGGATGCTTTTCACATACGCACACTGAGTCGAGCCAGGTCGGGTCGGGGCACGAATGCATGTGCGTGTGCGTGTGCACACATGCTACACCGGATGATTTTGCATCTCTTCCTCTCTATGCCTCTTCGAACAAGTGCACTATTCTAAAGAGGCCTCTATTTGAAAGGACACTTTTGTTTCCATTCGAGTGATTGAGAACACTTTATAAAAGGAGTGTTGGTCGACCCAGTTTCACACACCAATACATTTCGGCAGTCTTCTCTTCTCTGTCTTCTTTGTCAGTCTGAGCATCATTCTCTATGGTTCGTGGAGGTTTGGTAAGTGACTACATGCCTACCAATGGTATGTGGGCTATTTTATCTTGGCGACCAATTTGCAATCACTCGGCTGCATTGTAGGGAGCAAATGCGATTTTAAGGAGAGTAACCAAGTGGCATGACTCATCCCTCATTCTCTCTGCAAGTTCTCAATTTCGTAGTTCTGCAACACTACTGATGAAGGAAGATTTGGCCCGACCTCGCAATCACTCCACGTGGCAAAAACGAATAGCTCGACACTTAAAACAGCGTACCCAGGGTGCAAGCACCAAAGGGAAGAAACCAGCAGTCCGAACTCCCTTCGAGGAGTCTGAACTCCCTTCGAGGAGCCCGAACTCCCTTTGAGGAGCCCGAACTCCCTATGAGGAGCCCGACCTCTCTACTAAGAGCTCAAACTCCCTACAAGGAGCCCGAACTCTCCCTTGGGCCCCAAGCCACACAAAGCAGTGACCCGAACTGGCCCGCCTCATGGCAGTTCGGGACACTCCCCTATCCGAACTCAAGACTTCACCTCATTCACCACTCCAGCACTTTGCCTTTGAGACGCCGAGCTGAATAAACGTACCATACTTGACACCGAGGAGGTCCGTATCCAAGGGGCGGCGCATCTGACTGACTTGGGATCTGATGCTTGACAGGCGCACTACAACAGTCACCTACCACCGCCACCTGCCACCATCATCGCCAGTCGCAGAGACGGCTCCGACAAAAGGAAGCAGTGGCGGTTCTGACCAGCAGCGGGGATGACACCCGAACTGACAGAAGACCAGAGGTAACCGCAC